GTTACCTGGTGACCAATTTTTCTAGTCCTCTCACCCTTCTCATTGTTTCAAGGCTGTTTGGATTTGTTTTGTTTTTTTAACTCCTAAAATTGTAGTGTCCAAGCCTCAGTTCAGTGTGCTGTGGTTTGCAGGATAGTGTTCAGTACTACAAAATGTTCCTTCTTTCCCATTCCATTCCAATGCCCTTTCCCTTGCTCAGTTCAAGGTCAGCAATATAAGGACTGATCTTCATGTTTTGGTTCTGCCTTTGAAAGTAATTTTGAGTAATATAATAATTATTTTGACAAGATTATTTAACAAAAATAATGTATGCACATATATAAATATTTTAAAAATAGCATTATACTCTTGCAGTTTATTTAAGATTGATTCCTAATCTATACATTTTAATTTGGGGTAGTTTGAAATTTTGAGCTCATCACTAGAGCTATAGAATGAATTGCATTTTTATAGGTTTAATTATGAAGTGTGTTATGATTCAGATGATCTTTATGAATATCATTACCCTTCATAGCTAGTTTTCTTCTTTTCAAAAATGACATAACTTGATATTAAAGTTTTTTCCTCCCTCTTTCTATTTTAGTGGGGAAACAAGATTGAACAAAGAGAAAGTACTTCAAGGTTGGTATAATCTGGTTGTTATTCTAAATCTCTGCTTTAGTGTTAAAGTGATATGCAAATTAATCAGATTCAGTGGGTAGGGTAATCTGGGGGCAGCACTGTACTGGGATTGGCTTAGATTGAGATTTCAGAAATAAAGTCTATAACAGCCACAAAATATGGTCAGAGCAACTGGTAACCAAGAGGAATAAATCTCTTGACTGAACTAAATGGACACAACAGCTCTTCAGCTGGGTGTAGTGATGCAGGCCTGTAATCCCAGTGATTTGGGAGGCTGAAGCAGGAGGATCGTAAATTCAAGGGTACCCTCAGCAATTTAGTGAGGCCCTGAGCAACTTAGTGAGACCCTGTCTCAAAAAATAAAAAGGGCTGGGGACAGCTCAGTGGTAAAGTACCCCTGAGTTCAAGCCTTAGCATCACCACCACCACCAACAAAAAAACCCAGAAACCACTTCTCCAAATTGCTCTTTACATTCAGATTCTAAGAGGCCTAGTCAGCTGATTAGAAAGTTATATTGGTTCTAGAAGCCTTAAAATATAACTGTCTAGATTTAAAATGGTTCCTATTTGGAAATGTGACGTTTTCTGGCTGGTGTTAATGGTATTTTCTAGCTCAGATATTTTAGATTTAATTCTCATGTGTGCTCATTACTTTATTCTGAACTGATTCTTCCTCTTGAGTTCTGTTAGTATGGACCCCAAGTTTTTAGTTGTCCTGTGATCTAGCTCAGCTTTTTAGAGAATATCCTGAGTGAACTTTCAGGTAGAACTGCTATTTCTGTGCTGTGATTATAAAAGCATTTAGTTTTGTTTGAAGGGTAGTGACCTGGGGTTAATGTAAACTGGTTTTCATTCCCAGGGTGCTTAACTCCCTTTTCTGGAGACTAACTAGTCTGACACTTAAATGAACCTGCTTTTGAGTGACTTGTACTCCACGACCCGACCCGGAGTTATTCTCTGGCTTTGAGGAGTTATTCTCTGGCTTTGATCGGTTGCCACCGCCTTGTCCTTTAGTACTGCTCCTTTGTCTTACTTCATTAGAAGCTGACCATGGAATGTGAATAAAGTCTTTTGTGTTCACATTCATTTTTTAGTTTATTCTTTTTTTTTTAATTCTCCCAACTTAGTTGGATGCTTAGTTCTTTAAAAAATATACATAATCTTTTTAGCTGGTAATAGTCTATTTGCCTTTATTCTGGTTACTGATATGTTTGAACATCTTTCCTTTGTTGTTCTTTTCTTCCTTCTTTTTGTAGTCTTCCTCTTTATTCTTACTGGCTTTTATATCTTAAGTCCTTATTTCTCAGGCTGGTCTTACCTTCCCTACTGGTTCCACCATTTCTGGTCTTTTAATGATTGCCTTTAGATTTTCCCATTCATACTCGTTTTAGTCAGTTTATGACGATGGACTGGGCAGGTGAAACCACACGTTTATTTCCTCACAGCTGTGGAGGCCAAGTCCAAGATCAAGGTCTTCCCAGTCTGCTTCCTGGTTTGCAGACTTCTATCTTTTGGTTGCATCCTCCCACAACTAAGAACAGACAGTAAGAGCTCTTGTGCCTGAGCATGCTTTTGTTCTCTCTTTTTTCCTCTGTACTAGGGCATTCTACCACTGAGTTCATTCCCAGCCCTTTTTATTTGAAACAGCATCTTGCAAGGTTCCTGAGGCAGGTATCCACCTTGTGATCCTCCTGCCTCAGCCTCCTGAAGAATAATATTATTAATGTCCCCTCTCGAAAAATACAGGAACTTATGTTATCATTGTCTGTCATCTTAGTCTTTTTTTTTTTTAAAACCACTTGATGTGGACATTATTGCCTCCACTTGTCATTCAGGCAGTATTTGCTAGCTTTGCTGCTCATCACTTCTTTTGCATCTCAGACCTTCTTTCCAGAATTATGTTTTCTGAAAGGTTCTCCGGTGTGTGTGGCTAGGCTGATGGTAAAGGTGATCTTAGTGCATACAGTTTTGGTTGGACGGTTCTTCAACACTTGGAAGATGTTAATCT